TTCCTTTGAGAAAAAGGATGTGAGGTTCCGGCTGTTCTGTCGGGACTGAATGTCTTATTTTATTTATGTATTCAATTATTTATTTATGCGCTCATTTATTTTAAATATTTCAAATTATATCCTACTGGGTCTTTCGCTCACGTTTTATGTTTTAAATGTTAAACCCCTCCCAGGAGACTCGATGAGCGGTGCAGGGTAGCTGGAGTTGCTACTGTTGGATCAAGTGAGGATTGAGTTTATCCTCTTGAACAAATGTAAGGAATTTGAGAAATTATGTAAACCTATTTAATATTGGATTTACTAGACTGTGGATGATGTCTATTGTAATTGATTATTTACATGTGCATGTATGTACGATACTGTATGTCTTGTGGGGTGGAGCCCTGTGTGTCAGAGGCTCCTGGATTATGTCGTTTATTTAGATTTTTATGCAGTTAAGTGTGGGACCCGGTTGAGAATCTGCTTTATTAATCCCAAATCGAGTTCCACGTCACCCACCCCGTTTGGGGGGCGTGACAGAACCTTAGCACGTTTACGCTTATTTGGTGCTCAGATCTAAAATCCACGGTCGTTCCTTCCTTCTATATAAATAAAACGTCAAATACATTGTCACTTGCACTATAATAAATGCATAAATTTTATAATTACACTAAATTTAGTGTTTTTTTCACAAATTAAATCACAATTTAAACTTTTTTATGTGAAAGAAAACATTATAATAACAAAATAAAATTTAAATTTTATATGAAAAAACATTATATCAAAAAAATTTGAGTTGCAAAAAAATAAGGCCGACTATATGTATACATCAATTATTGTTTAATAAAAATTTATATCAACTATTTCACTGCTAGTTCTCCGAACCAATCATGGCAAGATCTAATTATTTCATTGACAAATAAATTGTTTTACTAATTCATAATAATAATAATAATAATAATAATAATAATAAGTTCTATGTTTCACGCATATAAGAATGCTATAAAATTATGCAAAAAAAAAAAAAGAGGAGAATAGAAAAGATAAGGGTCCATTAATTTTATTGATTCGAGTTTAAAATTTAAGTTTTGTTATAATAAAAAATTCTTATAAACAATCATATTTAATTTTTTTATTACAATAAAAATTTTTTATATCATATCACATCTCAACTCAAATTTACGAATTAAACAAACTCAAAATGTACCTACAAATAAAATTTTGTCATGGAGAGAGACAAAAGGAAATAAAACAATCATTGAAATGGGAAATGCCCAGTGACAACTCATCCGTTCTGTGTTTACACATTATTATTTTAGAAAAGGGAAAAAAATCCATAAACAAAAAAAGGAATTTTCTTTAAATATTTTTCCCTTTTATCCTTTTTTAATTATTTTATACATATACATATATAGTTATATATATCCATCGCCGACGTACATTACGTTACGTGTCGAGAAAACGACACCTGGCGTCATGCAGAGTCTATGCAACCACCCGTCAACAGAGCGGGTCTTCTCTGTTTCGCTCCGCAATAACTAATACGACGACGGGGTCACGTAGTCGTAAGAAACCGCCTGGTAATCTTATCATTATCCCAATAGAAACACCAACAAAACAAAACACAGTGAAAGAGAGAGTAAAAACGAGGGACGACTTGTTTGTTAAGCGGTGGTGTGTCTTCAAGTGTCGTGCATGCATTTTATGCAAATCTGTTGCTTTGCATGCACTCTCTCTCCTCTCTCTCTCTCTCTCTCTCTCTCCCCTCTTTCTCTCTCTACAAATACAGTCCCAATACGCCCGTACACGCGTTCTTCGGTCTCACCGGCCGTTTTTTCGCTTCTCTCTCCTCCTCTTTTCCCACCGGTAACCGCCGAGTTGACTTGTTTCTTCTCTCTCTTTCTTCTGTTCATCTTCGGCCACTCTCTCTCTCTCTCTCTCTTTCTATATATGTATATTTATGTATCTATATATTGTGGGTTCAGGTGAGCAATCTGAGTTGAAATAGCGAGGGATTACTTCTCAGTTCTCGAAGAAGATTTGGGCGTTCGGAGATTGCGGCGAGCCGAGGTTAGTTCTGGTGATTTTTGTTTTCATTATTTATATTGTATTTTTTTTTTTTGCTGTAAATTGTTTTTCCAATCTCAAATGCTGTGCTTCTGTTTGACTCTTCTTCTTAGTGAGGAGCTCGCTGGTTGATTTAGTGTGCGGTTTTTCTCAATCGAAAGGGGTTTTAGGGATTTGGTTTTGATTTCTCTGTTTTTGCGCTTGGAGGGGATAGAATTTGGTGCGATGGGGTCTACGATTTGCATGAACGCTTCGTGTGGGACGACGAGCACGCACGAATGGAAGAAGGGCTGGCCTCTGCGATCCGGTGGATTGGCCTATCTCTGCTATACCTGCGGGTAATTTCTTTTATATATTTTATTTATTTGTTACTATTGTTATTGATTTTTTTTTTCAATTCCAGTTTTTGCGATTTCAGGAAAGATATTTTTGGGATTCGTCATGTGTGTGAGACTGTACTCCTATTATAGGTTGATAATCGTCGTTGATTTTGTGGAAGATGGTGTTTTTCATGTTGAGAATTTGGGTTATGACTTGATGACTTCGCTTGCATATTTTGTGTTCCTACTTCGTAGGGATGCATTTTGCTTTAGTCTCATTGGTATTTTATTTTGGAATTGAGTTAAGGGCTTGGCTACATTTTAGCTCATAAAATGCTAAATATAGGTATTACTGCTAAGAAATGACACTGCCACTCGGCAGAGTAAAAATCGCTTTATTTGTTATACGAAATGTACGATTTTGAATGGGAAAATTGAGTAAAGTAAAATTTCACATCACCTATTACCAGTGAGTGAAATTAATAGCTGAAAATTGCGGGAATCGTTAAATAGCAAAATAATTTTTGAATTTATAGGTTGTGACATGGACCGAAAGCTAAACTTGTTCAATAGAATTAGTGGACTGTTCTGGGGTCAGAATTCCTCTGAATTGAAATGTGGGTTAGACTAAACCATCATGATGAACTACTTGCTAGCAGTTATTAAGGTGGTGGAAGAAATGCTTGATTTTTCCTTTTATTTTATGTTTTCTGTATATCTGAAATAATTTATTATATTTTCTACTCTACTAATTTGGTTATACCTGACTGTGTTTATGCTGTTGGTGAATTATCTTTTGGTTGAGATCTATCTATAATATCTACAAACATTTGTATGTATGCATCTATTTCGCTGTATTAATCTTTCGTTATTTCTATTTGGATTTCTGGGTGGCACTGCATAAATTTCAGATGTGCTTATGAGAGTTCCATTTACTGCGAAAGATTCCATTCAGACGAACCTGGCTGGAGAGATTGCGGATCATGTGGCAAGGTGAGCTGATTGTTTTGATTGACATGTCTCGTTCATTCTCTCGTTTTCTTCAGTTTTTAACTCTTGAATTTTTTATTGTTTGATGCAGCAAATCCACTGTGGATGCATAGTTTCTAAGTCCTTGTATGACTTTCTGGATTTTGGAGGTGTAGGGTGCATTAGCTGCCTAAACAGTTGTCGACTCCATTCGGTAAGATCAACTTGTATTGCATTGTCGTATAGAATCAGAGATAATTCAGGTTAAACTCTTTAATTCTCTGCATTTCATGAGTTCAAATTTTAATTTTGTTATTTACTATAACGAAGTAAGTTTCAAAGTAGTGATGTGCCACCTTATGTAGTAGTTGTTTTAGAATTTCTTTTTATTTTTTCCACCTTCATTCTGCAAATAGATGCTGGTTCAAAAATTTTAGTTGATGTCATGAAATTTCCATATCCAATAATCTTGTGTACCTCACGCTTCTTTTTGTTTATGTGGTAATTTGGTATTTGCCTTAACCCTTAATATGCACAAGTTAGTAGCTACAAAAACTTTGTCAGCATATTTAATGCTCAACTTGTTGCACGTAGTAGTAGTAAAGTCATTTGAAAGACTTATTTTATTTCCTTTATTTCCCCGTGCAGCTAAAGAATAATGACATGTCTAAAGGATTTGGTGGATCAAGTGATGCTGGTGACTCACAATCAAACATAATCCATAATAGAGTGGTTGCTGATAGCGTAGATGAGGGAAGATTAATGCAACTGTGCAAAATTATGGAGGATAATGAACCGAGCCTCCTGCCTCAATTTCAGAGAGCTGAACTAAATGCATCTCTGGGTCAAAACAAACAAGATGAGATCATGAATCAAATGGGAGAAGTTAGCCGAGAATTTTCAAGTGTGGCTCAGCCATCTTTTGGATCATTAGGATTTGCTAAGCCAGACAATAACAGAACCACACTCGAGGTTAAAGATAGGCACGAACCTCTTGTTGAGCCATCATTGAGCATGACTCTGGGAACTTCAAATTTTGTGCTGCCTTTTTCTGGCAAGGTTGTTGGTGGGAGAGAACAGAGCAAAACACCTTCGCCCTCCTTTGAATCACATAGACAACGCCCTATACTGCCCAAACCTTTGAAACCTGCCCTCAATGTGTCAGAGTCAAACAAAGGTGTAATTACTCAGATGCGCATAGCTAGACCTCCAGGTGAGGGACGGGGAAAAAATCAGTTGCTTCCTAGATACTGGCCAAGGATTACTGACCAAGAGCTGGAGCAATTATCTGGAGAGTATCCATACTTGATTCATAAATCAATTTCTTGGCTTCCTCTTATTTTTACTTCGATTAGATAATATTTACTTTCGATGGAAAAGGTCGCTTTACAGTGTTTACCTTAAAATGTCATCTTAAAGTTTGAATTCCACTATAGTGCCTTTGTTTGAGAAGGTGCTGAGCGCTAGTGATGCTGGTCGTATTGGTCGTTTGGTTCTTCCAAAAGCATGTGCTGAGGTATAAATTAAAGATATTTTACCCCTGAATTTTGCGTCCAAATTTTCTCCTTTCCTTGTGATTTATTACTACTTGGTGGAGGGAACAAAGGTTTTCTTGTTCTTTTTGCCTCTTCTCGTTCTTATGTATCCATCTGTATGAGTTGGACTTGCAGGCATATTTTCCTCCTATTTCTCAGTCGGAAGGCCTGCCTTTAAGAATTCAAGATGTGAAGGGGAATGAGTGGACTTTTCAGTTCAGATTTTGGCCCAATAACAACAGCAGGATGTATGTTCTGGAAGGAGTTACCCCTTGTATACAATCCATGCAACTTCGAGCTGGGGATACAGGTATGTCGGTATCATTGAAAGTTTTGGCTCAACACTTGACATTTGCAAAGGACACCTTGCAAAATACACATTATTAACTGCATTCGCTAACTTACCTCTTTACATACATCGTAGAAATCTACCAATAAAAAGGAAAAAGGCATAGTTCGAGGGTCCCCAGCCCCCAGATACACACACAAAACTTGTGATAATTATTGTGTGTTTTTGAACTTCGAAACTCTTTCCCAAAGATCAAGTGATATCAGCTGCTGAGTCTGAAAACCAATGCCTCCTTTTTCCTCCTTTTATTTGTTTATCTCGCTTTACATAAAGCTACAGATATGTAATTTTTCTGGGTAGTGGATCCTGGTCTTCTATTCTTCAAGATGATATATGTGCCATTCCTGCAATCCATTTTGTATATCTTATGCTATATTTTTTAAATCTCTCCTCTATGCAGTAACTTTTAGCCGCATAGACCCTGGAGGCAAACTTGTTATGGGGTTTCGAAAGGCATCAAACACTTCAGATATGCAGGTTAGCTGTATTCCTATTTGTTGCAATCAATCCTCGTAGCATTCAAGTGTACAACTGAACTGGGATAATCTACCCTATTGAATGAATAATTAGGAACCACAAGCGTCTGTTCTTCCTAATGGGACTATTGGGGAGTCCTCTTTTTCTGGTGTTACTGAGAATCTGCCTGCTGGACCCGGAAGTAGTTACTCTGGCCTCCTGCAGACAAATAAAGGAACCAAGGACCCTCTTACTAATGCTGCGTCTGAACACTTGCATTTGGCTGATGTGGATATTGGGTCGCACAAAAGTGAGACCAATGGTTGCAGGACAAATGAAGAAGTGATGCAGCAACCAGTTTCAAATTCAGAGAAGAAGAGGACTCGAAATATAGGGTCTAAAAGTAAGAGGTTGCTTATGCATAGTGAAGACGTGCTGGAGCTGAGACTAACGTGGGAAGAAGCTCAAGACTTGCTTCGTCCACCTCCAAGTGTCGAGCCAAGCATTGTGACTATTGAGGACCATGAATTTGAAGAGTATGATGTATGCAAAGTCACTGCCTTACATTGTGTCAAATGATAAAATTTTACTACTTTCTATTATCAGAAAATGTTGATAATCTCTTTTTTTTTGTTTCCTGATGGATGCTTTTGTAGGAGCCACCAGTTTTTGGGAAGAGAACGCTATTTATTTCAAGGCCATCTGGGTTAGTATCTGGGTGATATATATTGTGTTATCTAATAAAAGTAGTAAACAGGATGATGATGTTTCTTTGAAGTTTCTTGGTAGTACTTTTTGTTTGCTTCCATTTATTTATTTATTTTATTGTTTTATTGTTATTTTTAATGCTTAGTTAATAGTAACTCTATACTTTGTGAAGTCTAGGAATTAATATGTGCATTCACGATAGGGGACACAGCTGAATAGGTGAATTTTCTGTTTTAGGGGCCAGGAACAATGGGCTCAGTGTGATGACTGCTCCAAATGGCGGAAGCTGCCCGTCGAAGTTCTTCTCCCTCCAAAATGGACTTGTTCAGACAATGCTTGGGATTCCAGCAGGTGAACTGTATCCGATGATGCTCGATTTCTGTGCTTAGAAGTTCTATAAAATTGAAGGATTTTCATTTGACTCTAGTCGTATTATGTTTTCGAATACAATCTTAGGGGTTCATGCTCTGCACCAGAGGAGATGAGCTTGAAGGAGCTGGAGAATCTTCTAAGATCAAGCAAAGGTTGGCCTCTATTCTCTTTTCTTTTTTTCCCCCCCTTCTTTTTCCTTTTACAGCCCATATACCCTACAACGAGGGGATGTATAACTGCCTTTAGTAGGCGCGTTTAGGCAGTTGTACAGATTTACGTGGATAGACTAATTTTGTTGTTCGGATGTCTTTTTTTAGTATGGTCTTTTATTTTCTGCGTTGTTTTGATGCTTGAATTAGTTTCCGATGATGGAGTAAACTACATAAAACTGTTAAAGAGAATCTATATTGGTTTCAGCGTTGCTATACATCGAGTTTTGCATGTGTAATAATTTCAATATTGATAGAGATATTTACTTCCCTCTCTCATTCCGCCCAGATTTTAAGAAGCGAAGGACTGCAGAAAACCACAAAGCAACGGAGGAATGTGAGCCTTCTGGCTTAGATGCTCTGGCTAGTGCTGCGGTGCTGGGAGATAACGTTGGTGACTCTGGTGAGCCATCAGTTGGAGCCACCACCAAACATCCCCGACACCGCCCAGGTTGCACTTGCATTGTGTGCATTCAACCCCCAAGTGGGAAGGGCAAACACAAACCCACCTGCACATGCAATGTCTGCATGACTGTGAAGCGCCGCTTCAAAACCCTCATGCTGCGCAAGAAGAAAAGACAATCGGAACGCAAAACCGAGTCCGCGCAGAAGGATGATAACCAAAACAAAGACGGACCAGAAACGAATGGCACCACATTTAAAGATGTATTGTTGCGCATGAATCATTCGGAGAATGAAGATAGCCAGAGCAGAGTTCAAGCTGATGTTGCTGAATCTAGTGCAGGCCAAATTGACTTGAATTCTGATCCATGCCGTGAGGACATGCAAACGGAGGTGCCAGAACTGACGATGATGGGCCTTGTCCAAGCTGCCAGCTCTCAATTAGAAAATTACATGAAGCAAAATGGGATTACTGGCTTGATGTACAACCAACAACCACCCACTCTCGGTTCTTGTCTAGTCAAAAAAGCTACCGGAGAGGGTGGGAGAGACATGTCTAAAGAAGGGTGCCTTACGTCTGTTGTTTGGGAGCGGGAGAGTAGAGTTGATTGAGTTTACCAATTACCATGATCCTAAATTTAGACTGAAACATTACCAATTAAATTATGTTCAATAGCGGAAAGTGAAGGAAAGTTTGTTCTCTTTTTACTCTCCAAACATGAAAGGTGTATCACAGTCTGGATCTGCCGTAAAAGAATGCGTGTTTTTGGGTTCTTTTGTTCATATGCTAAACCGTTTCTCCATCTATACTTAATATACGTGCTCTTTTGTGCGTCCGAGTGAGGGGAAGAATTTAGGCTTCTTTCCTGCAGGATTTCAATTGTTGTTTTGTTTATTTGTTTCTCTTTTTTTCTTTTTGGCTTTAGTGGAACGACAGAAATTCACATGTGGAACTAGAGGATGTCGTTTTCCATGTTGCTCAGAAATATGAAGGAAAAGGAAAAAGTATATTAACCTTGGAGCTAGAGGGAAAGGGTGGATCATAAATTATAGATTCGTCTTCTAAATTCCTTGTTTAAAGAATTTAAGATTTTTCTCCCAAATACCCTTATATATTTTTCCTTCTACTAAACAACTACAAGTCTAAACATCACTTCACTAATTCTCCAAAATTCCTCAGCTCGAAAAAAAAAAAGAAAAAAGAAAAGAACGACTCTTAGGACAATCGATCCACATTATTGTTATAATCGACATGTCATTGGCCTGAGAGTTAAAAATAACTATCTGCCATAAGCCAACCAATGACAGCTATCTTTCTTTTGCTCTTTTTTTTTTTTTTTTGTGAATAATAATACATATTGTTCCTTCATTAGCTTTTTTACGTTGCTTTTTTTTTTTTTTTTTTTGCCACTCATTTTGGAAACGAGGTCTTGTGTTTGCAACTTTAGGCTCTGGTTCAAAGAAGTTTCAGCCTTCAGTCTTATTAAAGAAATAATTAAAACCCAACAAGATTTCATACAATTAATTTTAGCGGTTCTTGTTCCATTGCTTAATAAGTAAATGAATACGCGTGACAGGTCATGAATTATCCTTTAATAATACTGAATTTCGTTTCTGCCAAGGAACAAGGTTAAATAAAACTGTTTTGACCCACCAACTTGCTGAAATTGTAATTAAAATATTTAAACGGTCCGGCCAGCTAAAATTTCTTTTTTACTTTCTTGGCACCTTCACCATGCAATGCATGCACAATTTTTTATATCTCAAAGTTAACGTGTGATGAGGAAATTATCTAGTAATTGATCTTTGTTTTCAGGTTTAGGGGCGACTAATCACTTGACACTACTTTAAATTAACCCAATCTTTTAACGAGTCACAATTCTCAATTCCTTGTCTTTTGTTTACAAGGAAAAAATGGTTGTTTAATGCCTATCACTGACCGGCGTTTTAAAAGTTTGTCCTTATATTACTCGTCTTCATTTGCAAAGGAACCTAAGAAACTTTAGTACGTAATTCCTTATCATTAATTCGCCTTATAATCCCACCGATTCCACATTCTCAATTCCTCTGAAAAAAATCAAAAACAGATTGTAGCTCTGACACCTGAAAATCTGAATACTAATAATCTAGGGCCTAATGGGGGACAGGGCAACACTAAATAAGGCAATAATGGAGCTTGAAGAAATGTACTCTGGAATTCCTGATGAGTCGGTGGATCTCACTTTTCAACATCTAGCAAACGTCAAACAAATCCCAAACTCACCGCAAGAGAAGAAACTATCAATAACCAACAACAACAACAACAACAGGGAATTGTCCAACGTTTCAGAGAACAACACAAATCATGCAGTTGAAGGAAGTATATCCCCTTTGAGGAAGATACCAAGCCTTGATTTCAGCAAAGCCCTGCAAGCATCCAATCACCACCACCACAATCATCATCGCCTCGATCGTATAAATGAGGACGACGTTGTTCATCGTTTTAGTCATCATCATCATCCTAACAAGGAATTAAGTCATCAATATGATCATTACGCAGCTGGTCAGTATAGGAATATGAATCCCAACTCTATCGCTCACTCAGGGTTTAGGCACGCGGTGGAGAGTAGTAGTATGGTTAGTGGCGAAGATCGGAGCATGGCTTCGGTGTATCAAGAGAGAATCGTGGGAAGACGAAGGCTCGGGATACCACACTCGAAAATATGTACCGTTTGCAGTACCTACATCTACATATTCCGCCATCGCTGCCTAGTACGTCTTTTTACTAATATTTTGTAATTAACAAACACTTTGCTTCAACTAATCTATGTGTTAGTATTGAACATCTTAATTGGTAATTTACGTTTTTGAACGATCATTTTATCATGAAACAGTATGAAAGTATAAAGGAATCCAATGAAAACTAATGGTTCAAAAACAATCATTAATGGAAACTAGAGGTAGAGAGTTTTTTCTTAACCCACTTGAAATAGTTTGGCAATTTGTTATCATAGATTGATAAACTTTTAGATCATCTTTAGGCGGAAAACTAGATACATATATGTAGAGCGGTTAAGATACTTTTGTTGTTTCAGGTTTGTGGAAGAGTGTATTGCAGGCAATGCCTAAGGAAAGGCATGGGAGAAATGACGGAAGGAAGAAAGTGCATTGAGTGCTTAGGTAGAAGATTTAGCCAAAGGTATTTTTTTATTTTTTATTTTGTTTGCTGAAGAAAGGTATTAATTGATTAAGCTATTCTATTGATACATTTTTTTTTTATTAATACCTCTTAATTAATGTTGCAAGGTACTAATTAATTAATGTTCAATGTCTTAACTTCATTGTGTATCAGTTTATGTAAGATGCTCTATCGTGATACATAGGCAAGCCTAGGCCAAGATGATATTTAGATAACTTTTACAATAAGAAAAATAAGATCAACACAAGACCAAAGACGGTCTTGAATAAGATCACTGTCAATATTTGAAAATATGGTACAATACTATTGGTTAATTAGACGTACTATAGTAACGTAGAGCCACGTATAGTTAAGAGTAACGATCTTACCTGAAATTATTTTCATTTTAGTTTTATACATGAAATATGATAAAAATTTATAATTTATCCCTTAAAATTATGAATTCTATATCTATCTCACCTCATAATATGTGAAATCTCTCTCATTTAGTGTACTCTCCCGTCCCACGACTTATTTTTCTATTTCTGCCCTGCGTACTAGAAAAGTTGTAAATCTTCTTTGATACGGCTAATCGTGACTTTGCGAGTGTGACCAAGTCATACAAAGTTAATTCAGCATCAACTTTGAACATCCCGAGCCAAAAGTCTTTTAATTGGTGATTACAAATTTGTTTTTATCTTATACCAGCCGGCAATTTGGGGACTGATACCCAGAGGTGAAATACGACAAATGCATTACGGACCTGTATGCCTGCAATAAGAAATTGCTCTTCATTTGCCGTCCCTTAATTTGGTCCAACACTTGGCACTTAGCAAAGTGACAAACTTTATTGGCCTAGGACAAATAATCATAATTCTCAGCATTGTTTAGTCCTCTTAAACCAAGGAAAGAGACAATTTTAATATTTGGTCTAGTTTTAGCTAACAGAACATTTTTTTTTTTTTTTTACTTTTTCGTTTGGAAGCTAACAGATTCTGAAATTTCATAACTTAAAAGGTAGTAAGTTCTAAGAAAATAACACAAAACTAAATAAATAAATTCCAGGGAGCAGATTTCTAAGTTTCTCTTAAAATCTAATAGGTACATACATAGAGCAGGAGAGGCGGGGTGTTTTTGTTCAAGGTACCCAAGTGTGGTGAGGCAAGCAGAGTGCAAGTGGGCTGAGAAAGGGCCCAGGAAAAGCGGCGAAAAGGGCTATCGAAGCGGAATGATCTCAGCAAGGTCAAGAAGCCCAATGAGCCCAAGGACTCCAACCGGGCCTAATGCAGGCAGTGGGCCCAATTCCTTTGTCATGAGCGGATCACGTTCCCCTTATACTCCCACTCACCACCATTTCCCTTTCTAGTTTTTAGAGAGTTATCGTGATATCCTTCATGGAGTTCCTTATATATCGTTCAATATTCTTCCGAACATGCTCCATCATCTAATGTCTTATTTTGCTATTTATTGTTGCTCATCTTACTCCCTTTGTGACCTTTTCTTTTATAAACATGACATATTCAATTTCAATGCAACCACGATTACATTCTGAAATGTTGTACATTATTCGGTATCCCAAAGAATAACCTATGGATATAATCTGCTATGTGCGCGTGTGTGTCTATATACATGTATATATACATATATATATATACATATATATATATATATATGCATGTGTGTGTGTGTGTGTGATGCGCGCGCATACATACATACCATCACACACACACATTCTATAGTTTATACGTAATCTTAAGTTTAGACAAGGAGAAAACTGTAACGCTGTATTCCTGCTTAATGCTTGATATTCATATTAGTCAACTTGAGACATCTGTCCAATATAAATTAAACGTGCGCCTAAACACTGAAGAATCTTTTTGGTCTCCTTTAAAGTTTAAAGACGGAAAAAAATGCTGACTTGTGAAATCCATTACGTCCGTAGTTTATTTTCTTTTGTTTGTTCATTTTTGTGCTGACTACTACAATGCTATATTGCTATATAAGTCCAAGCACACACTTTCAATGGGGAAAAACAAAACAAAAAAAGAAAAGAAAAGTCCAACCACAAAATGAGTAAAAACGGTTCCACTTGATTTTGGAACAGTTAGAAGTCATCTGAACCATTTGTGGGGCTAAAGAGTGGAAAAGTTGCAATGTAATGTAAATATGGAATATCTTTGACGGAAAAAATAAGAAAAAGATATAAACTTGACTGCTTCAAAAGAGTGAAAGCATGTATCAGACTTTCACGGCGTTGGCTGAAGACGGCTAGTACTTCAATCTTTTATGCACGCAAAAAAACTGGAAAACATAGCTTTGAAGCATCATCGCCTGACAAGATGAGTCAACATAATCTCCCTTTTGTTTACCACCCGTTCTTCCTTTAGGCCCAAAATCTTCTATATTTTCTGCATTAACAACGAATGGTAGACATTAACCTATAGTATAAACATCTTAGAATTACATTACTGCAAGACTCGTTTCAAGGAACCACAATAAAGTACCTTTTCTCCCATTTTGATGGAGAGGACTTTTGTCATTGTGATGATCCCAAAAAAAAAACAGAAACGTCATTTGTACTTTTGAGCAAAACTGAAAACAACAAAGCGAAATAATGGAAGAGAACAAATCCTATCTTCAGATAACATACCGGCTTTCATCTTTTATGCTTCCAGATTTGTCAGTGATATCCACCGATGGAGACAGTAATGTCTCCTCAACAGGCTTAGGGAAAACAGTGGTGGTTACTCTCTCCATTTGTGGAAAGACTGCATCTCTTGCCTCCCTAGGCTCACGTTCATTATCATTCTTTGAATGTGAGGCCTCGACTGCCGCTTTTTCCTTAGAGACCAAGCCCTCATTCCTAAGACAGATTTCTTCCCCCGGCTCAAAACTATCACAAAAGTCGGATAGTTTCATGTTTACCTTTTCATCATCTTTACTAAAGCTTTCCTGCGCCAATAAATCAGGGGACAGTGTCTCACCCTGAAAACCAGCAGTGCAGGGCGAACCTTGTGGCCCATTTCTCAGTTGAGAATCTGGAGGAAAATCTAGCTTTGATATTGTCGAGGAATCATTCAGAGGAATCTTCTTAGAGGTGAAACAATTGGAAGGTGAGTACGCAACAGGTTCAGAGTCAAATCCATCACCTAAAGGGTCAACTCCAATACGTGATTTCGGTGTGGGAAACTTACTAAAAGGATCTTCTCCCCAGAACTCAGAGTCAAAGAATGTATTTTTTGCTCCTGGATTTTGATTGAAACATCTAGAGCCTGGACTGATATCCACTGCAGTATGTCCTTCCTCAAAGTACCAAATGCTTCTTGTTTCCAATTTTTCCCTGGAAAAAGAGCTTGCGTGATGCCATGGTTTTGACTCCGAAGATTTTAACACATTTGGTTGTTTTGCTATGCCAGAGGCGATATCTTTTTGTTGTACATCGTCCTTGCTTTCCTTGGCAAAGGCATTCTTCACACCATACTTATCACTTGAGCTACTAAAACCACCCCCCTGTCCTCTTATCCTGCCCTGTCTTGATATTAAGTTTGATGGTGAAGTATCAGTTCCCTGATACCTCACTGACATGATCGCGGAAGATCAGTTCAGTTCATCAAAAAATATATATTTTAACAAGGGAATGAAAAAAATAGTTTTGCAACCAGTAAAATACCTGCACTGGATGAGCATGATTCTTCACTGCCAAAGGTTACAACACACGTAATGAGGTATAGAAAATCCAATTATGACACAGAAGTCAAAAGAGGAATTGAAATCATTTTGACACATTAAGTTCTACCAAATTTACCTCTGTAAGCTGGAATTATCCCTTGCATCCTCTGTCATAAAGGAAAAACAGTCTGGTTTACTTGTTTCAGGCTTAAAATCATATTTCCTTTCAACAGTTGGGTATCTGCCTACCATCACATCAACATGGAACCTTAAGTACATCAAAATTGTTCACATGTGAAAAAAAAAAGGTACAAAGCATTTAACTTCTCGGTGGATTTGACATACCTTGCCTGGTTGGAAATTAGGAAGTCAGAGTCATATTCAGATGTTTCATTCTTGGAAAATGAGAATGTTGACCCTGATTAGAAAAGAGAAGTGAGCAAAGAATTGACAGGAATCCGAAATACCAACTTGGATATGGCTATTCAAATAATTCAGGGAGCACCTAGGACATCGAACTTGTCTATGACTTTCCAGGTGGTCCTGTACATAAATAACAGCTTTACCAGAAGATATTTGGTGTTGCATTTAGAAACAGGATATCAAATTCAGACTTGAAAATAAAACCTAGTAGGTTTGCGGGGGCCATCAAAAGCAAAATCTGACATAACATAGTCTCTATATATCAAATTGTCAGCAGCATTGTCGTCATTTCGACTTTGCCAGGTTTTCCATGATATATCAGGTTCTCTTTCGTCAAAGAAGCTCGGATATTGGAAAGTAGTCCTATCTGGCATACATGAGGAGAAAAGAAAAGGGTCAGATTAACTTTTCTATGGGGAAAATATGGAAATAGGCACCAGGTACGTGGTGGCACTGACACAAAGGAAAGTTAATACAGATTACAACAAGATGTAGACGATAGAAACACCATAAATCACTTATTGTATCTTTAATTCATAGATTCATGGAGTTAAGACCTAGACAATAACAAGCAAAATCCCAACAACAGCTACTTTGTCTCAGCACGTTTAAAATATAAGATCCATAACAGGATAGTGGAAATGTTTGTTTGTGGGATTAAAAAAAAAAAAAAAAAGCATACCATCCCATTCATTGTCGTTGTGATGACTGAAGTGACTATTCTTTTTACTATTGTAACCATCATCCCTGGCTTCTCGAACAGTAAATGATCTCTGCTTTGGACTGCTTAATGAGTCCATAATGTCTGATGAGAATTTGAAAGGATTGCTATCATGGAGTAGATCGATGTCTTGCATTTCCGCATCCTGCATTTAGCACATCAAATAATCATCCTCAGGTTGGTGGCATGATTTCCCTTTTGAATCTTTGCTTCAGAATTAAGCCAAAAGACCAAAAAAGGAGACTCTGTGAAGACACTCCATATGCTCACACCATTTCAGATTCAAGGTCATCCAGTGAAGAGTTAAAGTTCTTCGAAACCTTCATCATCCCTGCAGCCTTCAGAGAAGAGGAGAAGCCATAGGAAAAGGTTCTACAACGAGACATATCAATTAATGTCAGGTGAATTTACAATCGCGTCAGTGATTTCTAGCATTACAGTAAGTTCAAGTCCATTATGCACACGTTTATCACGGGGCGAGATCTCCCATTGTTGTCGGCAGATCAAATCAAATTGATTTGATCGGATTCTACTGAATTAAATCAATCTAGAAGATTTTGAATTGATTTGAAATATTCAAATCTTCCTTTTTTGATTATCCGGTTGTTTAGGATTAGGTTTTAGTCAATAAAATCTGATTTGATTGTTACAGCAAATCAGCCACATTATTAGGGAGATTTTCTTTATTTAGTTTTTTATTTGCTGCCTATTTAACTGTATTTCCGCCACATTAATAAAATATAGCAGATCATTCCGTTCAAATCTGCTTTCATGGTATGAGAGACAGGTTTTGAACCCTAATCTCTCTGCCAACCGTAATGCTAAAATACGGAATGGCTGGCGGAAAAGAAACCTCATCGTCCGAGGTTACCTCTGCTTCATCAGGGATTGTCAATCCGACTCCAACCACTGGATTTGAAGTTCCTTTCAGCAAGTCACGAGTCATAACTTCAATGGACAGAATTTTGTCCAATGGTCGTATTCTGTGATGATGTTCATAGAAGGGAAAGAAAAAGAAGACTATCTCACCGGCAATGCTGCACAACCGAATGAGAAGGATCCCAAGTTTTTAACTTGGAAAACAGAAAATAGTATGGTTAGGTCATGGCTGATCAATTCCATGAATAACGAGATGGGAGAAAACTTCATGTATTATAAAACAACAAAGGAGATGTGGGATGTCGTGAAGTAGAGTTATTCCAACAAGGAGAACACTTCAGAAATCTTCAGACTCAAAGCTATTCTGAATGATCTACGCCAAGGAGAACTCAGCGTAACGGAATACTTCAACACTCTATCACGCTACTGGCAGCAATTGGATATTTTTGACGAAACAGCATGGCACTATGTTGAGGATCACAAGCGGTATAAGGAGATTAAGGAAAGAGATCAAGTTTACAAGTTTTTGCTTGGTCTTAATAAAACCTAGATGATGTTCGTGGAAGGATCTTGAGTACAAAGCATCTACTAGATGTTCGTGTAGTTTTTTCGGATGTAAAGCAGGAAGAGAGTCGAAAGAGATTGATGTTAGGAACTCCTAATGATGATGTTGCAATCTCAAATTCCAATGATGCTGGAATCTCAACCATGGATGCCTCTGCCTTAGCCGCCCGAGGACCACAGTCCGACAGCGAGAACCAACAGAGAAGGAACCGGCCTTGGTGTGATCATTACAAGCGAACTGGACACACCAGAGATACTTGCTGAAAAATCCACGGAAAACTAGCAAACTAGACTCCTCGAAAGCAGAACGAAGGAAGAGGCTTCCAAGTCTCCCAAGATAAACAAGGAATGGATGCTCCCACACAACAACAGCATGCAGACTCTTCGATTGCACTGAATAAGGAGCAGCTAGAGCAACTTTACCGTCTTCTCACTCTAGCACCAGCACCATCTAAGCCAATTTCCAATGTAGGATTGTGCACCATGACACACAATGGTAACCATTCAGCCTTGCTCTCTTCACTTCATACTCAGGAACCGTGGATCATTGATTCCGGTGCCTCTGACCACATGACAGGTTGTTCTAAACATTTTTCCTCCTATACTCAGTGTTCTAGTATTGCTAAAATTAAGATTGTAGATGGATCTCTAGCTACTATTGCTGGAATAGGCTCAATACAAGTCTCAAAAACCCTTATTCTTCATTCTGTCCTACATGTTCCAGCCTTGAAATGCAATCTGTTGTCCATTAGTAAACTCACACATGACAATGACTGTGTAGCTAATTTTCTTCCTTCCATGTGTCAATTTCAAGACCTGTCATCGGGAAAGACGATTGGCAGTGCTAGAGCCTATGAAGGACTTTATTTCCTTGAGAATTCAGAATCTAAGAGTCGGCAAGCACTTGTGTCAGGAGTGTCACCTGTTTCGGTTTCTACTAATAGAGAAATAATGTTGTGGCATCATAGACTAGGCCACCCCAGTTTTTCATATTTGAAGTTTTTGTTACCAACTCTATTTAGAAATAAATATTCTATTTCCTTTGCTTGTGATATTTGTCAACTTGCTAAACATACTCGTGTTCCTTTCTCACCAAAACCATATATGCCCTCTATGCCTTTCTCCTTAATTCACAGTGATATATGGGGTCCATCTAGGGTAACGACCTTGAATGGAAAACGATGGTTTATCACGTTTATTGATGACCATACACGAGTAACTTGGGTTTACTTGCTTAAAGAAAAATCTGAAAGTTGCCAAATCTTTCAAACCTTCCATAAAATGGTTCAAACCCAATTTCAGAAAAAAATTTCAATTTTAAGAACTGATAATGGTGGTGAATATTTCCAGTCCACTTTGAGTGATTATCTTGATCATCATGGAATTGTTCACCAAAGTTCTTGTATTGATACACCACAGCAAAATGGAGTTTTAGAAAGAAAGAATCGACATCTATTGGAGGCGGCCCATGCCCTTATGTTCACCATGAATGTACCCAAATATATGTGGGGCGATGCCATTTTAACCGCTGCCTTTCTCATCAATAGATTACCCAGCCGTCCCCTCAAATTTAAATCCCCATTGTCTGTCCTCACAACTCAAGCTCCACACCTGAATGTCCTCACCAATAACCTTCCTCTCAAAACCTTTGGCTGCACTGTATTCGTCCATATCCATTCCCAACACCGCTCCAAACTCGACCCCCGAGCGATAAAGACTATTGTTGACGGTTGGATTTCGTCAACAATAAACCCGCCGGAATACCTTGGGGTTACCCTTAGGATTACCGGCTTGTGGGTTTAATGAAAGTGTGGATTCTAGTTTGATTTAAGTATTTTTATGTTTAAACGAACTGTATGTAAATGAACAAGAAGAATTTTATAGTGGTTCACTCTATAAAATTAGAGCTACATCCACTGTATATATTATACTTCTTTTGTAGAGATCATAGTTTACAATGAATACTATCTCTCTCTCTCCCTCGTTCTTTTTCCTTTGGAATTTTTCTGGGGCTCTTCCCTATTGGGGTCCTTCTTCTTTTATACTCGGACTTCCTTCGCTGGGTGGGTTTCCTTCGTAGGTAGGAACACTCAAGTGCTCTAGGCCCAGACATAGCCCACTAATCAGTACTGTTCATTCAACCAATTAGTCTTCTATTACGGCTCTGTGACTCTCCGTAATGCTTTTCTGTCCCCTGGGGGGGACGGTTTGTAAACTTGCAATAAATGCTGTCAGACCTCTCTTATCTTTGTATGTAACCTATTATGTCGAAAAAGGACGTTCCCCTCGTCGTCAGTGGTTGTTTAACCTTTCTCGCCCCTTCTAGTGATCTCTTCTGCAGTCGAGAGATTTTGTCGTGTCGGCCCAGGCGGAATCAACCGTCGACGTCTCATGGGGTCGTCGCCCTAATCATGGACTTCATCTTCGGGCTCTATAGCTGATCGTGAGGGAAACGAAGCGTCGAGGGTTGGGTGCTCGGCGGAAAGCAAGTATAGCCACGTGTCGTGGCGCCGTTGGTCCAGGTGTCCATCACATTTTCCCACACAACAACTATATTCCTTGGCTATTCTCCAACAAAAAAGGGGTATCGATGTTTCTGCCCAAAAACAAAAAAATCCTTTGTTACCCGAGATGTTACCTTCTTTGAAGAGATACCATATTATTCCCACACTTCACTTCAGGGAGGGAGTAATGGTAAAGAAGCTTATGTGTGGGAATGGGACACCACAGTTGAAGGGACTTCGACCCCACAGTCAGCCACCATTGTCGAGATTCAAGCTCCAGCCCACACCGAAACAGAGCCTGAAGCTCCATAGCCATCTTCACAGCCACTACAACCATCTTCCCAACCATTGCAGCCATCTTCCCAACCACCTTCACAGCCAACCCTGCAGCCATCTTCATTGCCAATTCCACAACCACCTCCTTCAATTTCAAATCAGCAAGAATTGTAAGTCTACTCTCGGAGGAAAAATTTTCAAGGAAATAAACAACTCACAAGCACTACGAGCTGTCCTGAATCCGAACCTATGGTGGGTTCTAGTCCTTCATCCTCAGGTAATCCCGAAACTCTCCATGATAGGCTAGATGATCCCATTGCTCTAAGAAAAGGTGTTAGGTCATGTACAAAACACCCAATCTCTAAATTTGTGTCATATGATAACCTATCAACCTCATTCCGTGCCTTCACAACAAATCTTTCTAGACTTGACATTCCCAGGACCATTGAGGAAGCTCTAGCTGTCCTAGAATGGAAGTCTGTTGTGCTAGAAGAAATGCGTGCACTTGAAAAAAATGAGACTTGGAGCCTAGTGGAACTACCACAAAACAAGAAAGTAGTGGGATGCAAGTGGGTGTTCACGATTAAAGTAAAACCAGATGGTTCAGTGGAGTGGTACAAAGCCCAATTGGTGGCAAAGGGATTCACACAAACCTATGGGATAGACTACACAAAAAAGTTTGCTCCAGTTGCAAAGCTCAACACCGTTCGAGTTCTCTTGTCCTTAGCAGCAAATATGTATCAACTTAATGTGAAGAATGCTTTCCTGAACAGAGAGTTAGAAGAAGAAGTATATATGAGTCTTCCACCTGGTTTCTATGAAGACAAACGGGACAATACGGTGTGCAAGCTGAAAAAGTCACTATACGGCCTAAAGCAGTCACCCAGCGCCTGGTTTGAAAGATTTTCCAAAGTAATCAAAGGTCATGGATACTTACAAGGACAAACAGATCATACTCTCTTCGTCAAACATTCAACAAACAACAAGGTTACAGTTTTGATCGTGTATGTGGATGACATAATATTGACTGGAGATGAGTTTCAAGAGATGGAAGAAATTAAGAAGATTATGGCAAGAGAATTTGAGATCAAGGACCTGGGATTGATGAAATATTTCCTAGGAATGGAGGTTGCAAGGAGTAAAAAGGGGATCTCCATATCACAAAGGAAGTATAGGATGGATTTATTGGAAGAGACAAGAATGCTCAGTTGTAAGCCCATAGACTCTCCGATTGAACCAAAAGGCAGGAAGAACTTGATTGATGGAAATCTGGTAGATATAGGTAGATATCAAAGGCTTGTGGGGAGACTGATCTACCTCTCACATACTCGACCGGACATAGCATTTGCAGTTAGTGTGGTCAGCCAATACATGCATTCACCGTGCCAAAGACATCTTGATATAGTTTATCGTATATTAAGATATCTCAAGAAGAATCCAAGGAGAGGACTGCTCTTTCAAAAAAACGAAGATAGAAAAGTAAAAATCTACACGAATGCAGATTGGGCAGGTTCTGAAAAAGATAAAAGGTCAACATCTGGATATTGCACTTAGCTTTGGGGAAATCTGATGACTTGGCGTAGCAAAAAACAAGGTGTAGTTGCGAGGAGCAGTGCCGAGGCTGAATATAGGGCTATGGCTCATGGCATTTGTGAGGCAATCTGGATAAAACGACTACTGGAAGAATTAAGAATTGATTGTGAGTTCCCTATGCAGCTCTATT